GACGCCAACGCCAACGCAACGCTAAAGTTGTATGTAAACGGGCCTTATTTTAGCCTCGATGTTCTTTTCTACGATGCATCGAAACATCGATGTATCGGTGTTACTGCTCAAAATTTGCATCCCTATTAACAGCTGATTAACTCAGAGGGGCAGTTTCATTGAGGCATGAACAGCGAACAATGTTGCCTTTAGAGTGAAAAGGGGAAGTCCTTGGTGAATTAATGCCAAACGCTTTTAATTTAGTAACAGTTTGAAATTGAAGTAATTTTCTGCACATAAGCATCAAAATACGCTTTTGACGATATATGCGTTATTCTTTATACCCTGGAAGTATAGTTTAACCGTAAAAGAAGATATTTTTGTGCTATTGAAAAATAGTTGTTTTTTTTCTCCATAATTAATGACATGTAATGAAATTCTATTTCTCTTTTCATATTGGATCAGTTTTAAATCTGAAAATATGCGCTCTGCGGCGGCAGAGCTATTTTTGAGGCGAGTAAAGTAAATTAAAAATTAATGAAGTCAGTTCTTTATACATAGTTCTTTTAGAGCATTTTTTTTAAGCTTATTGGACCCCAAAACGCATTTTCATGTATTTACTACGCGAAAAATTTAAGTATCTCGCGAAATGAGCGAAAAAATAACAAAACGGCAACACTGCTCACCAGCCTGAAGTCGCTCGGACTATTTTTCCGGGCGAGTTTGTGAAAACTGTCAAACTAACAGACGAAGAAAAAGAATTTTAGTCGTTAAAATGTTAAGCAATAAATATGTGTACATTTACCGCCCAATTCTGTGTTTTCTTGGTACATTTTTTGTAAAGAAATTTTATCAAGATTTTTATCAAGTAAAAGCTCCCTTCGCATTTTGTGTCAATATTTATAAAACAAAAAGCTCTACGGTTTTCACATGAGTGGAACTGATTTAATTGTCACATTTGAAAAATATGAATTTCAAAGCAAAAAAGCTTTTGACTGCCGTAGCCGAGTAGGTAAAGATGTCGACTATAATTCCGTGTGTCTCAGGTTCAAAGCTCCGGTTAAATACAACGACTACTTTATCACATGTTATATGCATTATGTCAAAAACGTCAATAATGATGTTTAACCGGCAAGAAGTGACAACCAGATATTGGCGTTGTTTCTTTTCTTTTCAAGCAGATAGTAAAAATTTTACTAGCAGAAATTAGCAGGAGAGCCACAAAAATAAGAGCGTAAGAACGAGAGAGAGCTTCTAGTTTCTGCTAGTTTTTTGGGCTAAGAAACGCTTTCCAGCAGAAATTAGTGATAAGTTGTGATGATTATCTGTTAAGAATCAAAGCTATTGAACAACCGGACAATAGCTATTTTCTTTGATCGATAATTTTTTGAAGTGATGCCAGATTGTGGGTAAGGGGTTTGAGGAATTTTTATTTGCTTAATAGTTTGCTCATGTATTCAAAGTATTTAACAAAGTTATCAATCCATAATTGATCAACATTCAAGAATTGTCGACACTCTTGCGAAATTAATCGTTCTGAAGTTGTGATGTGGGGTAAAGTTATGTGTGTTAATATTAAAAATTATAAGGGTAATTTTGAAATATTTCTCAGTTTAACCAATTCAAGCGCTGAGTAAGAAAAAATCTTTTCAATTGTAACTGGGTTTTTAATGTAAAAACCAGAAAAAATTATCTGATGAAATGTTAAGTAGTACATGTATGTATATAAAATAACGGTTCCTTTTGAAAAAAAAGCAAGTGCTTCAACTTTAAAGTCACCAAAAACCATATTCGCTTAGACAATGCAAATAATTTGTAACAGTGGCAGCTTTAAGAATTGCCAGAATTCTTTAAGGCCTTTACAGCCCTATTCCGCCACACTGACAAAACTCACCGCGATGACAATTGATATAAAAATGACAATTGCAGCTTTTTGGTATTCGCAGCAAAATTCAAAAGCTCGAATCATGCCAATTGTCATTTTTATTGTCATGACCTTTTGGGCAGGTGACAAGGCAAAAACATATGTTTGTGTTGGTTTAAAAAGTGCGACGATTTAATAAATTTGTGAAAAAAATATAAAAATCAACTAATTTTAATGGCAGCACAAATTTTAGTTATTTGCGCAGCCGTGCTTGTGGAAGACGAGCAGCAACGGATGCTCCCTACAAAACTGCACATAAAATTGCAGCTGCTCCTGCGTCGTCCGCTCATATTTTGCACGTCTAAAATGTTTATAAATGTTCTAAATATACGAATTTGTCTATTTCACACAAATACTCACTTTTCTGGTGTTTCACCGCTCATATTTTTTGCAAATAATAGCGTTGACCAGCTGTTTCTACAACAATGAACTTTTCACCATGCATGGTAAGTTGACAAAAGCTTTTCGCTTGTCATTTTTTGTTAGGAATAGCAACGTGCAACGACAATGACAAAATCACGACAATGAAGGATGATCAATTGTCATTCTATTGCAAAACCGGAATAGTGTGTAATATTCCGACCTTTGCATTTCGTATTTGTATATTAACTGCCATACCTAAACAAAAGCGTTGGGTGGAGCGGTTTCTGACGCCTAGCGTTAGCGCCGAAGTGCCATACCTAAACAAAAGCATCAACGCTAAGTCAAATGCAGAAGTAACACCAACAATAAGCATAGGTTTGTTTGTGTGTAACACGAAAATGACAGTTTCGCCGTTTCCTGCAGCCAACTTCAATACCTGTACCCTGTCAAAATTGGATTTTCCAACCGCTCAGCGTTGACGCCGCGTTGTTTCGGTATGCTTCATACAAATTGTATAGGTATGAGAATTTTTTGACAGCCAGACAATGCTAACGGTTTTGTTTAGGTATGGCAGTTAATATACAAATACGAAATGCAAAGGTCGGTATATTACACACTAAAGGCCTTAAAGAATTCTGGCAATTCTTAAAGCTGCCATGCTTTTTTACTACTGAAAAATATGTTTCGAATTTTTTGGGAAATTTGTGGGGTAAATTTTTAATATGTGGGTAATTGAAGGATTTTTTCCCGATTTCTGTGGGTAATTTAGCAGAGAATATCTGGCAACATTGGTTTAGGGCAGTTTATGCAATTTTGTGAGAGTATTCCGTACTTACGCTCATTTACCCGAAACAAGCCCGATAATTAAAATAAAACAAACCTTTTGTTTCCTATTGTTTTACTTAGGGTTTACACCGGACAATATTGTCAAGACAATTATGTCAAAATGATATGTTTGTTGTAATACGTTATTCGCCGTGTTTACAACAAACACATCATTTTGACATAATTGTCTTGACAATATTCTCCGGTGTAAACCCTAAGTAAAGTACTGAACTTTTTAGCAACATCGAATAAAGTTAAAACAAACTTTGGCAGCAATGCTAGTTTTAGGGCATAGTTTCGAGTACGTTTGGTGGTGCATCTATAAATGCACAAATTAGTAAAAAGGTTAATTCCTAATTTCATGTTATAATTTTAAAAGCTTGCCAGTCAATTCAATTTTTGAATGTTTAGTATTTATAAGTACTATATGTAAGTATTACGTACATACATATCGCACACCTAGATTTAAAGTGAGCTAACTCAAAATTCAGATCGGGAAATATAATTGCTAGTGGATCGTACAGATGCGACGCAATTAATACAAAAACAGGTATAAAATTTTAGTTAGTGTATGTATTACTACGTTTATACTAGGGATTTTAATTTTTTCGATTTTTACGATTCCGCGATTTTCGGGATGTCGTTGGTTCAATCCCGGGATCGCGGGATCAGTCCCGGGATTTAGATATTTATTATTTTTCAAAGACTCAACATGAAAAAATTGCATCAATATGGTTTGAGAAGCTCTCCTACCATATAATAAATAATAAGTAAATGGGTTTGAAACGTACTTTTAATTTAAAGTGAAAATTATTTCATAAGTAACAAAACAAAAGACAGTCATTAAATTTATATGCATTTAGTGTGCTCATATCTGATAAAGTAATTTAAGGTATGTCGAAAAAAGCTCGATGCAAAAAAAAAATTTAATAAAAAAATTTATTTTCTGGTTGAAAGAAGTTCATAATACTGGTGTCAGAAATAAAATAAGTGTCTTAATTCGACCAGTTTTGTCTATTTTCCTTTTGTTTATCCAAAATTTAAATTTTTTATAAAAGTCTACCTCATATTACGCATAATTAACTGCACGTCATGATTTTTTTTTTTTAATACTTTATCGAGCCCTTACCGCCATAATAACGTAGGCGACATTTTTTTAAACGAAAATTAAAAAAAAATTTCACATAAAATAATATAATATAAACGTAGTATATATATAACCTTGAAGAAAAAAATACTTTCATACATTGAAGGTAATTTCTTTGGATTGATTTATGTAAAAAAAATGGTCAACATTTTTTGAGTTGGTCGCACTTGGATCTACATGGGTGAGCGATATGTACATATGTACATATCGGTGCCCATCAGTTAAAGTAGCTTAAGTGACTTTAGATGATTTTACTTTGAATTAAAAAGTATTCAGTTTCCTTTGAAAAATTTGATATTTTTATGACGTTTCTATTAAGATAGCTAGTCAATCTTTAAAATATTATGGCCTATCTCGATTTAGGTTACTTAATTTGACGAGCACAAATATGTACGTATATTGTTTCGTTGAATAAATTGAAATCTACCGCGTTTTACTCGAATATACCGCATTTTTTCTCAATTCCACCGCAAAAAAAAAACTAAGTTCGCACACTGCTGACAAGTGAAGATTTTCAATGTGAACAAAAAATTTGTTTTTCTTTTTTTTTATTATAAACAATGAGGTTCGCATTCATGGCTTATGTTTTTTTTTTACATTTTACCGTTAAATATGTAGGCATGATTTTGTTCAATTTATTTGTCTAAAAATTGTATATATCCTTCTGAGTAAGACCAACAGCCATATTCCCACGCTGATGGCAAAACGCATCCCATGACTATTGTCTTAAGTACCTACCGTATTTGTCATATACTCAGTGTTGTCATAATACAAGGATCATGTAATGTGTTTTGTTACTGGGGTGGGAATAGAACTTTATGATATTGATGAATAGGTTACTGAGATACACTCGTCTCATATTAAGGGGCGCCTATTTTCATCCATATCCGGCCACAGAGTGGTATTGTCTAGAAATTTGTATCGAGAATGAGTTCAGCTCGATAAAAACTTTCCAAATTACAGCACTCTGTAACGGCGAAAAGTTGGTACAAATCTGTTCAAATATACAAATCGTGTGATCTCTGCTTTAGAGCCCCAACAACAACAAAAACAAAAAACAAATGGTTGTTATAAAATTCGTTCACAGATCGCAAATACAAATGAAATTAATTAATTTTAACTATTTGAAAACGAATTTTACTGAACCCTGTATATAAGTGACGAATCAGCACTTTGTTTTAAAGTTTTTTATCTTCAAATTAGAAAAATCTCTCTCGCGGAGCTGGAAGTACGTAAATGAGAATTTAGGGAAGTGGCTCAGCCAGACAAAAGACAGACTGGTAGATCTGTATGTGAAGACATGGCTGATGACCTCCCTAAGTTAAGCGAGAGGTCATTCTATTAATGAAGAATAGAACTAGTGAAAGCAAAACATGTGTTACCGAAAATTTACTTTGTGTTTCACGAGCGGAACTGAGAGTCGATATCAGTCATATATGTATGTAAGGAAGTAACCTCATTGGGTTTTTTTTAGAATGGCTTCACGTGAGAAGGCCTACCTTAATTACCTTGTGGATTTCTTTGTTGAGTCGAATCCAAAGGATTAAGAAACAAACCAGAATGGAAAACTATCCAATTTTTTATGGTATCCTAGTAGTGATGATACGCATTTGCAATATATTGGTATGTCAAGTCACTGTGATACACAATAAATGCAAATTCCAAATGTTTAAAGTTGATTTCAAGAACTAAAATCTCCAAAAATGTTGAAACTTTTTACGGAGATGTAGCAGAGCGGAACGAGTACATACGCACCTAAAACTTAAGCTGGTATTTTTAATGAACCCCCTTGGTTTAACCACTGAAAGTCAACTTTTGGTAGCTTGCTTCAAGCTTTAGACTCCAACGGCTCTGACATTCAGCAGTAAGTTACACTGTATTCTTTAGGAAAAAATATTGTAATTTTCTTTTGCAGTCCTCACAACAACCCAATTTTAACTTTCAGGCACCATATCGCACGAGTTTGCACAGTCCCACAAGTTGGCCTGTCCTATAGGCATTTTTGCGCTTAAATGAATTAATGCGACAACACTGAATATTCAAACAATTTCTTATCAGCGCCTGCACTCTTATTAAACAGTACAATCATTCAACCCAAACCAACCACACAGCTTCAATTGCTTCTGCACGTATTGATAATTGCAGCTGAAATGGGGAATCATCGTCTCGTCTTTATACTATGGTAATTTCTAGTCGGCTATTTGTGGATGCACTTCTTTTAATTTAAATATATACATATGTATACGAGTAAATAATACATATATGTACATACATATTTTTGTATACCTACATTCCAGTCTGATACTTACTTGCATATCTTTTGCCGACGTGGAGTGCGTAAATGAATGGATCAGAAACCAAATTCAGCCATCAGCAAGCAACAAGCAATTTCCTAAGAATTTTTCCTTTGGGGTGGCGACAGCCGCCTATCAAATCGAGGGTGCGTGGAACGAAGACAGTAAGGCGCCCTCCATTTGGGATATATACACTCACGCGCATCCAGAACGAATAGCCGATCATTCAAACGGAGATAACGCCGCTGAATCTTATCATCGCTTCGAACAGGATTTGGTTGCACTCAAAGAACTTAAGGTACAACAAAATTCGTCGAATTAAATGAAAGCTCTCACGCTAAATAAGTCTTATGTTTAAGGTCAATTTCTATCGGTTTTCTATATCATGGTGTAGAGTGCTTCCCTACGCAGATACTTCGGTGAAAAATCAAAAGGCGATTGACTACTACAACATGGTTATCGACAAGTTATTGGAGAACCATATCGAGCCGATGGTGACAATGTTCCACTATGATACGCCCGAAGAGCTGTCAAAATTCGGTGGCTTTACCAATGATATTGTCATCAAGTACTTCCGCTCCTATGCAGATTTTCTGTTTGAAACTTTTGGTGATCGCGTCAAGAAGTGGATTACATTCAATGAACCGTTTGACTACTGTGTACCAGGCTATGGCAATGCGAATTATCCACCAATGATCCATGCACCGGGAGTGGCAGACTACTTATGTATGGACAATACTTTGCGGGCTCACGCATCTGCTTATCGCCTTTACAGATCCAAATATTTCCACTCGCAACGAGGCAAAGTGGGCATTACCATTAGCAGCCGATTTTATTATACCCCAAAGGCGAATGAGTCAAACGACGTTGTGGATAGAGCGATACAGTATTCGGTAAATTTTTGCAAAACCGTTATTTTTGGAATTCGAATTACAAAAGGCATTTTATATTGTACGAGTATTTTAGCTGGGCTGGTTGGCGCATCCCATTTTCGGCAAATCAGGCAATTATCCCTACACTGTAATTGAAGACATCACAAGCAATAGCATGAAAGAAGGTCTGGCCTGGTCGCGGTTACGACCCCTAAACTTATACTGGTCGAAGATAATTAAAGGATCAGGGGACTTCTTAGGCCTTAATTATTATACCTCCCGTTACGTCCAGATGTCGGATCCTCCGGCAGGGGCAACTCCTTCTTGGGAGCATGATTCGCGCCTTAAATATTCGGTTGATGAGAGCTGGAAACGTGCCAAATCTGATTGGCTTTACTGCGTGCCTCAGGGCATGGAGGATATTTTAAAGTGAGTTGAAAAGTTTAGTCAGATAGGCCTAGGAAACAGTATCTATTATTTCTCTGCGTATTAAGATGGATTCGTGATAACTATGATAACGTTGAGGTATATATAACGGAAAACGGCTGGTCCGATGAGGGCGAATTAATGGACACAGGCCGAATTGATTATCTTAAGGTAATGCAAAAAACGTAATCACTAACGTCATACATACCTATGCATGTATGTACAATGTACATTGAATAGACATACGTAAAAATGTTTGTGCGTATATGTTCACCATTATTAATAGGCGGCATACACAGTGCTCTGACTCGTGAGTCGGTTTGAATTTGTTTGTAAAAATAAATATATATGTTAGTTACACCGCCATGACTCCTGGAATGTCTCTGAATGATTCAACTGTGTATAGTCGAAGGCGAGTCAACACGTATATAAATGACTCACGAGTCAGACGCACCGTGTATGCCGCCTATAATCTACTTTTGTACATGTATATTTATTATGCACATCTGCATACGGCAGCGGTCAAAATAATAACATCAAAATTCAAAATGATATTAGGTTTGTTCGTCGAAAATCCAGCAAGAATTATCCAACACTC